TCGGCTAGTTTTCTTTTGCAGGTTTTTTTTTTTTGGCTGGGGCTGGGTTTGAACCCACCACCTCTGGCATATGGGGCTGGCACCCTACTTTTTTGAGCCACAGGTGCTGGCCACAGCTATTTTTTTTGTTGCAGTTGCCACTGCTGTTTTAGCTGTCTGGGGCTGAGTTCGAACCCACCACCCTCGGTATATGGGGCTGGTGCCCTACCCACTGAGCCACAGGTACCGCCTAGGAATCCTAATGCTTATATGTTTGGAATGTATTTTTTTAAGTAAAAGGAATCATATTGCCTAGTTTGTATACTCTGGTAATCATGTCATTTAATCAGTCTTAAGCTGGGAGTGGGAAAACCTTTCTTATTGAAAAGAAATAGGACCTGTAACCAAATCCAGGGTAAAGTGAGTGGTTTTTATGATATCCTGTTCGTGCTCACCCTGTCTACTGTGTTCTGACTTCTCTTTTCTAATGGGAGACATTCATTTCTGCAGGAATGTATCCGTGTGAGAGGTTTACTTGATACGTTTATTTAATCATCTATAATAACCCTTGTTTACCTCTAAAAGTTTTCTTCTGTCAGCAACAGATGAAGGAACCCAGGGGGACTTACTATGTAGTCCATTTTATAATTTTTTAAAAACTTAAACAGTTCCCAGGTTTGGGAAGTCCCTACTCCCAGTTCCACCAGCTCATGTGTCCCTCTGAGGAAGTGGTGTCCTGGCTGGGCGGTGGGGATTCCCCTAGCTGTGGGGGCTTTCCACTGTCTGGTCCCCTTCTGTCCTCCAGTTCAGACCTGGGCACTAGGGCCAGTCCCTCTCCTGCTGTGGAGAGCCCTGGGACAGTGGAGGGTGGGGGAGATGCCACCTCCCACGACACCTTGACTCTCAGGACCGGTGCCAGGCAGCCGATGTGTTTTTAGGTTATTTTTCCATCTTCAGTTTCTTTTCTGTATAAAGAGTATAAAGAAGAAGTTGCCTCATTTAATGTGTCTGTCAAGTCGAAGTCTGTGTTACATTCTGCCATTGTTGCAGGTAGGACACTGAGATAGAGTGGGAGAAACTGACCAAGGTCATGTGGGCACTGATAGAACACCTGCAATCAGGCCTAGGGGTCCATCTGTGCTCCCTGACCTCCCCTGCAGAGCCCTAGCCCCATCCCTGGACTCTACATTTCCCTGACTTCCCATCATCCCTTCCGATGCTGGCTTCTGGGGTTGTACTTGCCCCTGCCTCAGGTGGAAAGAGGGGCCGTCCCTGCCCTGCCCTCTACATCAATGACTTGAGCTTGCTGAGAGGGTCCTGGCGTAAACTTGGGATGTGTTTTTGCACAGAGACATTCTTATAGGCTGTGGTTAGAGGTGGGTTCAGGCTCACTGAGGGGCCTGGGAATACCCGTAGCATGCAGTTTTAATGGGAGGGATGTGCCCGGGTCCTCGTGGAGACTTAGGAGTCTTGTGAATAGCAGGATGGCGCCCTGTGCGCAGGTCAGCGGCTCTGTCCACTTAGCCATCCAGTCTAGTTTTGGTGATTAATAAGTGCTCACTTAGAAATACTTTGTGTTCAATTAACCATGCCGATGAGATAATTTGCTCTCACTTAAATATTTTATTCCATGTCACGTATTACACTTTCATTGTTTTTACTGTATAGTTCTGTGGCTTTATTTTAAGGATAACTTTTATCAACTTGGAGAGTGTTTTTTTCACTTTCTTGGGAGAAAAGGGACCTGTAATTTCTGTGAAAGAGGGAGCAGCCTCTGTCTGTGTGGGGCAGCGGACTGAGGGTGAGGACAGGGCAGATCTGGCAGCACAGAGAAGAGCGCTAGCACTCTGTGTTGGCAACAAAGAAGCTCGTTGCTTCGGGAAACCGTCAGACTTAAGTTCAGACACAAACATGAAGTCTGGAGGGAGCTATAATTGGGTTTCTTTTTTTTTTGCAGTTTTTGGCCGGGGCTGGGTTTGAACCCACCACCCTCGGCATATGCGGCTGGCACCCCACTCCTTTGAGCCACAGGCGCCGCTTGGGAGAGTATAACTGTTAAGAAACAAATAAAAGTAAGACCTTCCAATTATTAGAGAAAGAACAACCTTCCGGTTTTCTGATTCTGAGGTTTGTGCAGTATGGCTGGATTGTAGTAAAAGCTTGTTCTCATGATTCACTCATGTTGGAGGCTCTGACCCAGCAGCTCTGTGAGTGCTCGTGGATCCTTGGAAGGGTAGGATGTTTTCTGCCATGCCTGACTGCTTTGAGGTTGAGGACCAAAGACTGTCCTGGGGTAACCAGGCATGTCTGGGTCTGTGGTCACAGGGACATCAATAGGAAGTGGCTCTGGCTTGGGGGGCATGGTCTGTCTACCTGCCACCTTGCTGTGGCCACTCCATGAACACTTCAGCTGTACTGATCTAGCTCAGGGCTCAGGGCCCAGGTCCCACCTGTGTCCTGCTCAGGGCAGATGAATTGGCTTTGGCCCGAGCAGGCCACCCATTCAGCTGGCCCAGTCATCTATCCCTCCACGCAGATCTCTGTCTTGGTGCCATCCCTGTGGCTGCCTGCCTCTCCCACTCCCTTCACCTAAACCCCTGCCCCGTGGCAGCTGCAGCCGTCTGATGGGCGCCGGGCTGGGTGCCTCCACCAGTGCTGTCCCTAGCCTGCACCGTGCCTGCCTCTGGCAGTCCCCTTGGCGTGAGGTCTGGCAGTGGCTCACCTAGTGCTGTTCCTGCCCGTCCATCCCTACCGCTGTCCTCGTTCTTAGTGGTCACTGTCAATTTCCTGGCAGTGCTGCAGACAACATTCTGTCATTTTAGTTTCTTATTTATTTCAGTGGATTGGGGATACAAGTGCAGTTGTGTAACATGGGTATGTGTATAGTGTTCCCAGCACCCAGTAGGTGATTTTCCTTCCCTTACCCGCCCCCTGCCTTTGGACTCTCTGCTGTGACACTCCAGCAATGGCGGCTAGAAGTGAGGACACGTGTGTGTTTTTCTGTTCCTGAGTTACCTCACCTGGGATAATGGCCTCCATTTCCATCCAAGTTGCTTGAGAAGACATTTTATTCTTTTTATGACTAAATTGTATTCCACGGTTTATATGCATGTTACACACCATATTTTCTTTATCCACTCATCAGTTGGGGGAGTACATTTTAATTATTGATCTGTATCATTGCTGTCTGTCTCAGAAAGTGACCTCCACATGGCATTGCAGGGCTGTCCATAGCACTGGGTGAAGGGGCTGGCAGGAGGATGGTTTGCTGAGTGAGCTGTCGGGTGGCAGCACCTGGATAGTCAGCAGGCAGGAGCCAGAACCTCAGAGTGAGACTTGGGTTAGGACAGTGTCTTTCAGCGTTTTTCCTATTTAATAGGGAAACCTCAAAAAGCAAGCAAAGAGTCTTAGTAGGATCCTACTGTGGAAAATGCAGAAGCAGACATGCCTGGTGGGTCTGTGGAGCGGATGGTCGGCTCTGCTCCCTCCTGTGCTGCCCCATGCACTGGCCAGAGCCGCCTGGCTGCCTCTATCCTGGGCTCTGGCCACAGTGAAGGGTCGGGTCTTCCTCATGACTCCAGGGCTCAGAGGCCGACTCTGGGCAAGTGTTTTCTCCTCCTTAGTCTGGTGTCCTCATCTTTGCTCCAGGCCTGCGGGATCTTCCCAGAGAGTGAGCGCTGACAGAGAAGCCCTACTGCTGCAGTAACCTGGGGGGACTCACACTACATTCATCTTTAAAACGCGAAATACTGTAAT